ACCTAAGCGATAGTCGGACGCTTAACCGACTAAGCCACCCAGGCGCCCCTAAATTACATTTTAAAGTTGGCACTACTTTGTCTAAATTTTATCTCGCCTTAACAACATGCCAAAAGAATTATCTAAAGTTAATATATAAATTAACATTACTGACTGGATGCAATTATTCATGTATATTTTCCTTACTATTTTGTTATTGAGATACTAAGGGAAATACCTTGACTAGTTACCCTCTTAACGAGTTTAGCTATTTTGGGGCATCTGGATGGCTCAGTTGATTAAGCGTCTGACTTCAGCTCTGGTCATGATCTCATGATGCCCTGTGTGGAGCTCTGGGCTGACAGCTCAGAGGCCAGAACCTGCTTTGGATTCTGTGTCTCCCTCTCTCTTTGCCCCTCCCCAGCTTGTGCTCTGTCTCTCTTGATCTCAGAAATAAACATGAAAATAAAGTGTAGCTATTTTACTTACCTTGCTTAAACATACTACATGAAAAGAAATTAAAGTGTCAATATATTAATTAGCGCAATTACACTTCATTTGTTTCCGCTCACATAACTTTTCCATCTGCCGTGAGGAAACACACAGTCATGTTAAAGTTAAAAACAAAACCCTTTATCTTAACAATGCACTCATTCAAGTAAATGCCATCAAACAATTAAGATTCAGTTTTGGATTTAAGTCTTAGTAATTACAGCATAGAAATCTTCCTTATCCTAATATCCATGTTCATTTACAAACTGCAGTTTTCTCTAGATTTATAAGGATTAACTGATTAAAATTTTTTTTACATTTTAGTATTTTTTAATTTTTATTTTTTAAATGTTTTTAATGTTTATTTGAGAGAGAAAATGTGCACACAAACACAAGTGGGGCAGGGGCAGAGAGAGAGAGAGAGAAACACAGCATCTGAAGCAGGCTCTAGGCTCTGAGCTGTCGTCAGCACAGAGCTCAACATGGGGCTTGAACCCACAAACTATGAGATCATGACCTGAGCCAAAGCTGGACAATTAACCAACTGAGCCACCCACCCAGTGGCTCTGACTTTTTTTTTTTTTTTTTTTTAATGAGATAGAGTGCAAGCAGAGGAGGGACAGAGAGAGAGAATCCAAAGCAGACACTATGCTGCCAGCACAGAGCCTGATGCAGGGTGAAAACCACAAACCTTAAGATCATGACCTGAGCCGAGGATGGTTGCCCAACCAACTAAGACATTTTAACATTTTTAAAAAAGTTTATCTTGAAATGGGGACAGATGAGAGAAGGGTAGAGAGAGAAGGAGAGAGAATCCCAAGTAGGCTCTGTGCTCAATCCTAGGAACCTGAGATCATGAGTGTAGCTGAAACCAAGAGTAGGATGGTCAACCAACAGAGCCACCCAGGTGCCCCTCTAATTGAATCTATGAGTACAGGGCCCACTTTCCATTTTTGGTCCCCCCTCGTTGCCCCTCCCCTGCTTGAATGCCCTCTCTCAAAATAAAAATTTTTAAAAAGACATGGATGGGGCACCTGGGTGTCTCACTTGGTTAAGTGTCTGACTTCAGCTCAGGTCATGATCTCGTAGTCCATGAGTTCGAGTCCCGCATCAGGCTCTGTGCTGACAACTCAGAGCCTGGATCCTGCTTCTGATTCTGTGTCTCTCTCTCTACCCCTCCCTCGCTTGCACTCTGTCTCTCTCCGTCTCTCAAAAATAAACATTAAAAAAATTTTTAAGTCATAGGAATTACCCATTACAAAAAAAAAAAAAAACACAACAACAAAGGATACAGCTCAGAGCAAAACAAGTGCTTTGTACTCATGACTTATCAGTATGTAGAAATTTTGGAAATAGGATTTCAGAAGTCAGACCCATAAAGAATCTTTATGTATGGGGTGCCTGGGTGGCTCAGTTGGTTAAACGTCCAACTCTGGATTTTGGCTCCAGTCATGATCTCATGGTTTGGGAGATTGAACCCCTGCTTGAGATTCTTTCTTTCCCTCTCTGTCCTTCCCTTGCTCATGTCCTTGTGTGCTCGCTCTCTGATATCAGAAAAAAAACAACAACTCAGGGCGCCTGGGTGGCTCAGTTGGTTAAGCGTCAGACTTCAGCTCAGGTCATGATCTCATGGTTCGTGGGTTCAAGCCCTGTGTCAGGCTCTGTGCTGACAGCTAGCTCAGAGCCTGGAGCCTCGTTCAGATTCTATATCTCCTGCTCTCTCTTTCTCCCCCAGAAATAAAACATTAAAAAAAAAAAGGCGCTCAACTTCCAGCTGCATTACAAAGCTGTAATCATCAAGACACTATGGTACTGGCACAAGAAAAGACACTCAGATCAATGGAACAAAATAGAGAACCCAGAAATGGACCCAAAAATGTATGGCCAACTCATCTTTGACAAAGGAGAAAAGAATATTCAATAGACTAAAGACAGTCTCTTCAGAAAGTGGTGCTGGGAAACTGGACAGTGACATGCAGAAAAATGAACCTGGACCACTTTCTTCTATCATACACAAAAATAAACTCAAAATGGATGTCAGGAAGCCATCAAAATCCTGGAGGAGAAAGCAGGCAAGAACCTCTTTGACCTTGGCCACAGCAACTTCTTACTCAACACGTCTCAGGAAGCAAGGAAAACAAAGGCAAAAGTGAACTATTGGGACCTCATCAAAATAAAAAGCTTCTGCACAGTGAAGGAAATAATCAGCAAAACTAAAAGGCAACCAATGGAATAGAAGATATTTGCAAATGACGTAGACAGTGGGTTAGTATCCAAAAGCTATAAAGAACTTATCAAACTCAACACCCAAAAAACAAATAATCATTGATGAAATGGGCTAAAGACATAAACAGACACTTTTCCAAAGACATCCAGATGGCCAACCGACACGTGAAAAAATGCTCAACATCATTCATCATCAGGGAAATACAAATCAAAACCACAATGAGATACCACCTCATATCTGTCAGAATAGCCGATATTAACAACTGAGGCAACAACAGATGTTGGCAAGGATGTGGAGAAAGAGAAGCTCTTTTGCACTGCTGGTGGGAATGCAAACTGGTGCAGCCACTCTGGGAAACAGTATGGTGGTTCCTCTAAAAATTAAAAAATAGAACTACCCTACACCTAGCAATTTCATTACTAGGTATTTATCCAAGGGATACAGTTGTGCTGTTTTGAAGGGACACATGCATCCTAATGTTTATAGCAGCACTATCAACAATAACCAAAGTAGGGAAAGAGTCCAAATGTCCATCGATGGATAAATAAAGATGTGGTGTATATATATATACACACCTGAGTATTACTTGGTAATCAAAAGGAACGAAATCTTGCCATTTGCAACTACATGGATGGAACTAGAAGGTATTATGACTTCACTCATATGGGGACTTTAAGATACGGAACAGATGAACATAAGGGAAGGGAAGCACAAATAATCTAAAAACAGGGAGGGGGACAAAAACATAAGACACTCTTAAATATGGAGAAAAAAACAGGGTTACTACAAGGGTTGTGGGAGGAGGGATGGGCTAAATGGGTAAGGGGCATTAAGGAATATACTCTTGAAATCGTTGTTGTACTATATACTAACTTGGATGTAAATTTAAAAAATAAAATGCAAAGATTTACTTGATAAATGGATTACCAAGTGACCTATAACAAGATTACCAGAACCCTCATTTTTAAAAAATGTTATTATTATTGTTTTTAAGAGAAAGAGACAGAGACAGAGCACAAGTAGGGGAAGGGCAGAGAAAGAGGGAGACACAGAATCCCAAGCAGGCTCTGTGCTCTGAGCTGTAAGCACAGAGCCCGATGTGGGGGCTCAAACTCACAAACTGTGAGATCATGACCTGAGCTGGAGTTGGGACATTTAACCAACTGAGCCACCCAGGCACCCCACCAGAATACTCACTAAAGTATTAGGCCAACTCTTAAAGATCTGTCCATTCACACAGTGGTGGATTTAGATGATCAGTAAAAATTTGTTAAAATACATGTGAAAAATCAAGTATCTGAATAATAAAGTTATTTTATTTACTACTTAAATGGTATTTTTGTTCTTTTGGCAATAATTAGGCCCATTTGCTTCAGAATAGTGAAGTCACAGGGGTGCATGCATGACTCAGTCAGTTGAGCGTCCAACTTTAACTAAGGTCATGGGTCTCTCCATCGGGATCTGTGTTGACAGTTCGAAGCTTGGAGCCTGCTTTGGATCCTGTGTCTCCCTCTCTGTCCCTCTGCCCCTCCTCCACTCATGGTCTGGCTCTCTGTCTCAAAAATAAACATTAAAAAAATTAGAATACCAACAGCAGAGTCTCAAACCTTAGTTTTTTCAGATTAATGGAAACTCTCAAGAGGCACCTATATGGCACAATCAGTTCAGTGTCTGACTCTTGATTTCAGCTCAGGTCATGATCTCATGGCTTGGGAGTTTGAGCCCCCTATCAGGCTCTGTGCTGACAGTGCAGAGCCTTCTTGGGATTCTCTCTCTCCTTCTCTTTCTCCAAATAAATCCTAATGTAATCTATGTAGTGTACTCTGGGGGACAATAATGTGTTAATGTAGGTTCCTCAGTTACAAAAGACTTACCATTCTGGTGGGGAATGCTCATAATAGGGAAGGTCAGGCATGTGTAGAAGCAGGGAATACTTGAGAAAAATCAATCTTACTGTGAACCTAAATCTGCTCTAACTAAAGTCTACTAAAAAAAAGTCACTTATTCCAAAAAATTTTAAAGCTGTAAGCAAGAGCTGACAGTCTCTTAATTGAGATTTCCTTTGGTTTGTATTTAGTTGGTATTCCATGTAGGTCAGTACTATCTATGGCAAATTCTTCCAACAAACCAGTTAATTATAAAGTAATGTTAAATCTACAATTTTATTGTAAAGTTGACTTTAAGACCTCCATTAACAATGTTTATGACAAAGATTCTAGATTTAAAGAGATTATATTATCTCATCACATTATCTATTATATAAATGCTTATTGCAAATAAAAAAAATAACATTCACCAAAGGTCACATGCATGGTTTTTGTTTTATTCTTTGAAGAGTGGTTCTGAAACATCACACTAGGTCAGGATGAAAGGTAAAGTTTAAAATAGTTTTATGAGGACATGTTATAACATATGACTGCTTACTCCACAAAAGTTTAATCATAGAGCTTATGGTACACCTTGTTGGCAGAGGCACCCAGGTTTTACAAATAGTCATCATTTTTCTCTTGTCTGCATAGACTTCTTCTCATTAGCTGCCTTCTGCTTTTGTTGCATTATCTCAGAGTCCCTATAATGGGGGAAAGAATGGAAGTTGTTAGAGAAAAACTGATTTCATGTTCTCACTTGTTTTCTACATATAGCCCCTTAAGATACAATTTAAAAGAAGATATAAAAATTCCTGTCTTTCTGTTCTCTTGGAGACAGAATTAGAAGATGAACAATGGAACGGCTTTGAAGCTGGATCTTATGTTGAAAACCATCCCTACTGTTATGATCTTGGGCAAGTAACCTCAAAGATCTTTCAACGTCAGAACAGTACTTACCAGAGTTGCCCTGAGGAATAGCTATCAATGTATATATTGCACATTAGGCAGCTACATACACAATAATGACAGTTGCTCTCGGTTGTCAACAGGAGACCCTTATTTTTAAAAATATATTTAATGGCTTTGTAACCAACATCTACTTTCTGCCAGATCATGATCTCATGGTTCATGAGTTCGAGCCCAGCATCAGGCTCTTTGCAGACAGCTCAGAGCCTGGAGCTTGCTTCGGATTCTACGTCTCTCCCTCTCTCCCCCTCCGCTGCTGATGTTCTCTCTCAGAAATAAACAAATGCTAAAAAAAAAAAAAAAAAAAAACCTAAAAGCTGAACAATTTATCCCAGGTCACATAAAAACCAAGTTTGTCCAATTTAAAAGTTGAGACTCTTTCCAGTTCCACACTGATTTAGTGTTACATTNCCCAGCATCAGGCTCTTTGCAGACAGCTCAGAGCCTGGAGCTTGCTTCGGATTCTACGTCTCTCCCTCTCTCCCCCTCCGCTGCTGATGTTCTCTCAAAAAAAAAAAAAAAAAAAAAAAAAAAAAAAAAAAAAAAAAGCTTAGAGCTGAACAATTTATCCCAGGTCACATAAAAACCAAGTTTGTCCAATTTAAAAGTTGAGACTCTTTCCAGTTCCACACTGATTTAGTGTTACATTTTAGGAAGACGTCAGTAAGACATTTCTTAAAGCCAATAGCATAAACAAGGAATGAGCATGAAGGGAAAACAAGACAGCTACAAAGAAAACAACCCAGAAATATTTACTTTTTGTTTGAAACCAAGCTCTGTTGTGTTTGCTGTAACCTTAGCAATGTTACTGAAGTTCAGCGCATCAGTTTCCTGTTCTATCCACTGAGGCTAAGACTCCTTTTCAGGGTGATGAATAGAGATAAAATGTACATAGTACCTAGAACAGAGCTTTGTAACAAGCGGATGATCATTCAATAGTAACTATTACTGAGCTAAACTAGAGATTTCCACTAAAAATTTCAGGTTCACTGATTGGTACCATGTTCACTTTTACTCCAGTGTGAGTAAACAGAAACTTAAGGCAAACTTTATCACTTTAATACCATAGAAAGAAAGCATGAAGTGATAATTAACCCAATGTGGGGCTTCAGCCCAAAACCAGGAGATCAAGAGTTCCATGGTCCACAGATTGAGCCAGCCAGACACCCCAAAACAATGATTTTTAACTCTAGTTGCACATCACAATCACCTGGGGAACTTTTTAAAAGTTAGGTTTAAGTTATACACAATAAAGTTTACCTAGGGCACCTGTTATGCCCAGCCCCAGATCAATTAAAGGAGGAGTGGATTTAAGGCACAGGCTTGAGGAACCGTCAAGGCTTCCCAGCTGTTTCTAATGTGCAGACTTGAGGACCACAGGGGAAACTGCTAAAGTATGTGCAGTCAATTCTTCACCTGCCCTCCAAGTTGTACATAGACACAATTAGGTGGGTTTTTTTGTTCGTTTGTTTTTGGTTTTTTGCCTCCCATTATACCATGCTTTTATGTGTTCTGGAAGGCATATTGGTGGGGAAATAAACTATTTGTTACCATCTTAAAAAAAGATGTCTATTTGCAATGATGGCTGTTTCTTTGTTCTTCCTGCTTTACAAACGAGCTCAACCCTACACGCGTTCCCCTTAAAAGTAAATTTGCAATATTGACATATTTCTTAAAGACCTATAAAATTTAGAGACCCAACACTCTAGTTGTGGAAGCTCTCAACTGACTTTTTAAAGAAATTCTGCTTGGAGAATTAAGGAATCTTCTGGCATCAAAGGCATCTTTAATTAAAAACAAAAATCTCATCTCAGGTCTTGATCTCAGGGTCCTGAGTTCAAGCCCCTCATTGGGCTCAGTGCTGGGCATGAAACCTACCAGAAAAAAAATCTTTCACAAAGCAAAGCCAAAACACATGCTGGCTTTCATTAAAAAACAACAACAACAAAAAACTGAAGTACAAAAAAGTAAATACAATACAACTGTGTGGCCTTTGTCACTACTGTTAATTTTTTTTAAAATGTTTTATTTATTTCTGAGTGTGAGAGAGAGAGAAAGAGAGAAAGAGAGAGACAGCGTGAGCAGGGGAGGGTCACAGAGAAAGGGAGATACAGAATCTGAAACAGGCTCCAGGCTCTGAGCTGGCAGTCAGCACAGAGCCCGACGCGGGGCTCGAACCCACGAACCACGAGATCATGACCTGAGCCAAAGTCGCTTAACCGACTGAGCCACCAGGCACCCCTGTCACTACGGTTAAAAGGCAGCAGATTCAGGAAGTTGGAAGGGTGTGAAGGACATACACTGTTGAAAGTCATCTTCTTGGTGAGAAAATTTAAGCTGCACTCTCAGAATTTCTGGAGGATTACAAAATTACAATTTTGTATTATTTCTCACATATAATGACGTGTATCAAGGCTGTGCACCTGCCTTTTCTCCAACCCAATGGCTCTTCAGAATTCAGTATAGCTACATACACTTCTTTGTGTCTCCTTCAGAACATTTATCACTATAATTGAGTCACCTGTCATCCTCCCAAGGTTGGGTAGGAGCTCTGCTTCGAAAATGTTGTATCCCTAACACAAAACAGTGTCTTCCATATGGGAAGCCTTCCATTATTTTGCTAAATGAAGTTCTTATGGTTGTGGTGGGGAAGTGTTAGATTCTCTTCAAGAAAAACTTTGGCATGAGAGCTGGAAACTCTTGATCCACGGACTGGGATGACTTTAGTCATATGGTTTTAGTATGAGCAGCACAGCTGTTCATCTGTTATCCCTACTATGCAGGCTAAGCCTAGTTCTACCAAGAATTAAAAACATTCTTTCCATTTTCAAAAGGAAAAGTCCTTTAGTATCACTTACCTCTGCTTTCTCTGAGAGGTAGTCAAGCTATCCTCTTTTCTTTTCCCCTTGCTAATTTCCTGGGATTTCTTCATGTTTTTCTGGCGGGCAAGTTCTCGCTGATTTCCGCCTACAAAGTTAAACAGTCAAGCTGTTTTCCCATTCCCAAAATTGGTTCTAATTCGTTAAAAGGCTCTTGTTTAAATGAATATGAAGTCGGCTTTTTAACAGATAACGCCAGCGGAGTATTGCACTGAACAGTGTTCCCATAGCCCCGGGGAGGAAGCTCAGACGTAAACACTTCAGATCTTAAGAGTATTATCATACCAATCCAGGTGTTCATCTGTCTGTAAATATCAGATCACTTACACCCAGCATTCCTCTCCTGTGTCTATATGGGTCAGTATATTCCAAATTAAGGTCTAGCTTTTGAGGAGTATGGATGGAGAGGAGGCTAGATACACAGGGAACACGCCTCCACAAGTTGGCCCATCACAATTCGACTGCGAAGTGAATAAATGCAGCGGTTCGGAATACATTACCTGAAAGGGCCAAACAAAAGAACTAGGCAGGGGACTCAGTCAGAGCTTCCTGCCCTTCTCAGGCCTTAGGACCTTACGCACCAGCTATAAAGCACTTTCTGATGAGGACCCCTCCCGGGGCCGCCGTCTTCACACACCTCACCTCCGGAGAGGTGTTCTTTACCGTGACAACTCGCACTTGGCCGGCAGGCACCCGCCCCACTTTGCAGGCGGGCCCGAAGCTAACCGCCCCTCTCCCTGTGGAGGCTGAGGACGGGGTCCCCGCGCCACCGGACCTGAGGGGATACACCAGCCCGGCTCCCGCCTCCTCTCCAGCCGCGCCTACGGACCTCGGCTTCTTCGGCAGACGCTCCCCGCCGCGTCCCCCACCCGCCCCCAAACTCACGGGCCATGCCGACACCGGGCCGAGCTCAGCAAAGAGCTACTCGGACGAGCAGCGGCTTCCTAGCACGCTCAGCGGCCGTCCTCTCCCGCGGCTCCTGAAGACTGAGCCCGCGCGGGCCCTTCGCCGGGCTACGCCTCTGCTCCTTCCATCGCCCCGCCCACCGAGGCCCCGTCGCTCCCTCCCGCGAGCCGGGAGGCTGACTGCGCATGCGCCACTGGACCGGCGGGCCGTCGTCCCGGCAGGTCTCGGGATCGCAGCTTTCGGGAGTTTAACCTGGGCACACGCCCCTTCGGTCATGCAAGTTTGGTCCAGTCTATAAAGCAGGTCCTGGGTCTGGATTTTCCCCACTGTGGACCGAGCACTGGGGCTTGGCCAGCCCCCATTTTTTGATAACGACAGAAACAACAATAAACGCTGATATATCTAACTTTTCGACCAAGAACGTTAGCATTCACTAATCCCCTTGCAGAAGCGGGAAAAGGAGGACGGGGACTAAACCGATTGAAGGTTAACTCGATCTGCAAAAGGCAGTTTTGGCTCTTTACACATTTTCTTCATTGTTCCCATTTTGCGGAAGATTGAGACTCTGAAACCAGGAGCGATTGTCCTAATAGGTAGGGACTCTTAGAAGTGAGCTTCATACATAAAATGGACTCTAAATCTGTTAATTTCCCTTTTAATCTCATTGGCTTTGTCAGGGTCGACAGTACCGAAGGAGTTTTAGGTTAATAGCTCTGTGCTTGGATTGTGTGATGGGAAGGGAATAGCAGGGGATGCAGTTTTATCTCCTATTCAGAATAACTTTGGAACGTGGGTACAAGTCATGGAGCATTTGCTGCTAAAAACATGTGCAAGGATGCCTGATGTTTAGTTTGGTTAATACTTAAAATTTTCATCTCTCCCGTTATTTATTACAAACATAACTCTCTAGAGTTAGTGTGTACACCCTAAAATTACCCTATTTCAAAAGGCTTTTATTTTGGAAAATTTTAAACATATAGGACAGTATCGAAAATACTGTAATGCACTCTCAAGTGTATGTGACCAAGCTTCAACAATTCTTATTTTGACTCCTAAAAGTCACCTATTTTACAGAAGGTAGGAGAAAGTGGTGAAGAATTAGAGCTCTGGAGATGGAATGTCTCGGTTGAAAGCCCAGCTCTACCAGTGAGTAGATATGTGAACCAGGGCATGTTATTTCATTGCTGTAAAGCTTCCATATTACTTAAATGGAAAGATAAATGTACCCTCTTAATTAACCGAGTTAATATATGTGAAGTACGAAGTGTCCAGGATATGGTAGCACTCAATATGTTAGCTATTATCATTCTTTTAACCTCAGAGAGCCTTGTGTGCTTGCCACTCGCTCCAAAACCCACCTCTCTTCAATGCTGTTTATGGGCCAAGCATCTGCTTCCACTTAACCTCTTCTAGAGTAACTTGAGCAGGGGGAAAAGATTGACTTTCTGTTCTGGCTCATTATAAAGAAGGGAGGGAAGCAATTTGGGACTGGTAGCTAAGTGGCAGCATTATTGTTTGTGTATGTAGTCGTAACTTACAATCTTTTTTTTTTTAATTTTTATTTATTTCTAGGAGAGAGAGAGAGAGACAGCGTGAGCAGGGGAGGGTCAGAGAGAGAGGGAGTCACAGACTGAAACAGGCTCCAGGCTCTGAGCTGGCAGTCAGCACAGAGCCCGACGCGGGGCTTGAACCCACGAACCGCGAGATCACGACCTAAGTGAAAGTCGGACGCTCAACCGACTAAGCCACCCAGGCGCCCCCGTAACTTACAATCTAATTGACCTTTTTCTTTGTAGCTGAAAATATACTTAGTGAACTGTAGGGATACACTCAAGATACATTGGGTGTGTCTGCTAGAGAAAACTGAAGACTTTCAAAGTTGCTATGTTGTCAATAAGAATTTACTCGACAAACTTCATTGTGTAACATATCTTAAGACTATAAATAAATAATAAAATTAAGTTTGACTCTCTTCCCATCCTTATAGTAATGAGATATTAAATCCTTGTTATTATAGATTCCCTTACCTACAGAATTGCGGGAATGCCCTAGATTCTTAGATGGAACATGACACTCAGGGAAAGGCAATGCATCTTTCTACCAGAATATACTGTGCAAAAATAAATGGTCCTAGTAGTGGCTCGAACATTCCTGAGACATATTCAGGAGTGGTTTCTTTGTCAAGTTCTCGACTTTCTTGAGATGTATCTGAAGTCCTGTTGCCTCCCCAGTGTACTGGAGGGAACCCACAGAGGAGGGAGCCCACCGAATTCACAGACCTCTATTTTCTTTCCAGTCTTAGAGTATTTCTTCTATTGTGCTTTCATCCCTCTTATCTTAATCTCAAAAACACTTGCCTCTCTTTCTCCTTCTGGATGACATAGCAATCTCTTTAATTAATGAAGGATTTTATTCTTTTGCCATTAACATATCAGGATGTTCTTGCAGAATTTTATCCTTCCAAAAAGAAAGTCAGGCCTGTCTGTTGCACTGAGTCAGGGAATTAAAAAACTGGCCCATCCTGTGTAGAGCCAATCTCATCTATGGACATTTTTCTTCTGATCATATAAGTCTTCCCTAACCACATTATCTGAAGTAAGCCAGCGTCCCAATAATATCTTTCATAATACTCTTCAAATTTCTTTCATGGCATTTAATACATTTTTAAACTATCTTGTTCACTTGTCTTATTTTTTTTCCCCAACCGAGAACGCCTTATTTATTTCTCTATTGCTACCTCCTGAAGCAGATTAGGAATACATATATTACATATAGTAATTTACTATGTAACTATATAGTTAAATTTTTTATGTTTAGAGAGAGAGACAGACACAGTGCGTGAGAGGGGCAGGGGCAGAGTGAAAGGGAGACTCAGAATCTGAATCAGGCTCCAAGCTCTGAGATGTCAGCATGGAGTCCTACACAGGGCTCACACTCACCCGCCAGGAGATGATGACCTGAGCCTAAGTGGGATGCCTAACCGAGTGAGCCACCCAGGCGCCCCTATAACTATATAGTTTTAACTATAATAATTTTTGAACAGGTACATTAAAAAGTATACAAAGGTCTACAGTGAAAGATCTTGTTGCCACGACGTTTCCCGTAAACCTAGTTCCCCTTCTAGGAGGTAATTTACCAGTTTCTTCATACCTGTATTTGTAATCTATGTTCTACTTAATTTAGAATTTCCAAGCCCTGGGGATGTGCTGGCGAACAAGCACGACTCTACAAGACGTTCTTCTTCTTCTGCTGCTGCTGCTTCTTCTTCAAGTTTTTAATTAATTTTTATAATCTCTACCCCAATATGGGGCTCGAACTCATGCCCCTGGCTGCTCCAACTGAGCTAGCCAGGCGCCCCATGATTTTAATAGTCTCATAAAGGTTTGGGTTGAATGTCTTTACCTTCTTCCCCTCGTTTTTCTAACTCCTAGGGACGCTTGGAGAGGGGAGAGCTGACCACGGAGCCTCTCAATTTCCGGTTCACTAGTCATTCTATAGTTTGACAGTTACCATGGCTCCGGGCGCTGTGCGTCTGACGCTTTTCCTAGGCGCTGGCTGATGGCGTAATCAGTTCCGGCGCCCTACGAGGCGGGGAAGCAAGGTACTGGGGGAAACTTAGCTATCAGTGTGGCAGGGTCATGAAGAAGAGGCGGCGGCGGGAGGAAGGAGGAGGCGGTGGGGGTGTGAACTTGCGGTAGCTGCCCGCTGGGCTGGTGGTGTGGCTGCGTGGAAAGGGCGTAGTTCTTAATCCCCTCTCCGGGCAGCGGCCGGGGCTCGGGGCTGAGAGCGGCCGTGGGGCCGCCTCCCCGGGCCCCCTGGCTCCGCCATGTTCCGCAGGGCACGCCTTAGCGTGAAGCCGAATGTCAGGCCTGGTGTAGGCGCCAGGGGCTCCACCGCTCCCAACCCCCAACGTGGACAAGAGGCGCCCAGGCCCCCGGATCCAGCAGTCGCCCCTTCCCCGAAACCCGCGGAGTCTACGGATGTACCCCCGGTGGATTTCGGGGGAACCGAGCCGCAAGAAAAGTCTCCCAGGAGCAGGTGAGAGCATGCAGGGAGGAGCATTTTTCATCTGCCCCGCCTCTCTGGGCCTGTCACCGGGAATATGACCACATGAATTTACTTTAGGCGTGTTCCGTCTCCTGCATTAAGTCTTAAGAGTTGAAACTCTATGAACCTACTCCAAACTGCAGTTTGTCACTCTGGCCACAGGGTGTGTCAAATATGGATTTTGTTAAAGGTCTGCAGTTCCCCGGGTGGGGACCTCATCTTCAAGTGGTGATGAGAAGAGTAACAGTCTTGATGTGACATATATTCACATGTGGTAATGTTAGAGAGCTTAGATTACTTTGCCGTTTTTTTTTTCTTGAGTATTTTGCGGGGGTAAGTACTTTTATAGATTTTAAAAACATTTATTCTTAAAAGAAGACCAGTGTTACATTGGTTATTGCTGATTTGTGTCAATGAGGAGCATGTATGGCTGCTTGATTTGATTTGAGGCCATGCCCCTTTATAGTGGCCATGTTTTCTGAAGGGAAAATAAGCATGTGCCAATACCACATTTAGAGTCAGGATTTTTTTTCTTTCTTAAAAAATTTTTTTTGATGTTTATTTTTTTAGAGAGTTAAAATTGTTTTTAATGTTTTATTTATTTCTGAGAGAGAGAGAGAGAGAGACAGCATGAGCAGCGGTGGGCCAGAGAGAGAGGGAGACACAGAATCTGAAACAGGCTCCAGGCTCTGAGCTAGCTGTCAGCACAGAGCCCGATGAAGGGCTCGAACCCACGAACCGTGAGATCATGACCTGAGCTGAAGTTGGATGCTTAACCGACTGAGCCACCTGGCGCTCCTGATGTTTGTTTCATTTTTGAGAGGGAGGTGGAGAGGAGCAGAGAGAGAGGGAGACACAGAATGTAAAGCAGGCTCTATCTGTCAGCACAGAGCCCAACGCAGGGATTGAATTCATAAGCACAGAACGAACCCAACTTGAGGCTCGAACTCACAAAGGGTATGAGATCATGACCTGAGAAGTGGATCACTTAACAGACTTAGCCACGTAAGCGACCCAGGATTTTTTTCTTAATTTAACAGTTTATTAGACTTTGCCTAGACAGAGTTTGCTTGTCTGTAAAATGGAGATAATATTCTCTGATTTGGAGAGTCCAGTTATTGTGGAGTTAGAAAAAACTGACAAACTATCTTGGATAGGACATGGCAGAATAGTTGCCTACAAAAAGTTTATGGTAGTAATTAACAAAGTAGTTAAAATTAAGCCATGTTGGGCTACTAATGGCCTCTGTTTCTGTAATATATATGTGAGGAGACCAAGAAAAACTGACCCTATTAAATGACAATGAGATGGTATAAATTCTCTATATGCTCTGACTAGAAGGTGAAAATTTTATCCCTTTCTTTTTGGCCTAACTTCTTCTGTTGGCCTGAACTGGTGCTGGGTATAGGGTGTTATTTTTTGCCAGTTTACTGTTATGTAGTTATTTCCGTCTATCTTATAGGAATATTTTTTCAAAATTTCTACTCAAAAAAGAAATACAAGTAACAGTCACTGTTTTGTATGTTTGGTTTGGCTGATCTCAGGTTGATAAAGTAATTTAGATCAGGTCAGGGGAATGTCCATATAGATTACAAACTTAGTTTTTAAAAAAAACAATTGTCAGTTATACAGTAATTGAAAGTAGGGTAATGAAGCTTTAATTTGTAACTTGGCCTTTTGGTTTTTTTTGAGGGAGTTAGGATGAGCTTAAACTTATGTGTTCTAATGCACTAAGGGACTTGAAATTTGAGAAAGATCAACAGTTTGTTGAATTTACATATCTGTTAAAAATAATAGTATACAAAATTTTTATTGGAATCTCTGTCATGAATAATGTATATCTCAAGTCATTGTTTTTTTTTTTTTTTAATAATGAGATTTTACTATTTTATATTTTCACCAGGCTAGTTTTTTAAAACTAGAATATAAAAGATCCATGGTGCCCTTTTTTTTCTTTTTAAATTTTGACAGTGATGAAAAGACTGACAATGAGAATTATGTTGAAGAATCCAGTAAGTCTTCCTCTGCTGTTTCACAAAGAAGAAAGCGAATATCAAGTACTACTACTACTGTGGTTAAGCCTGGTGTTAGTGTTCCTTCAGAATCTCATCCCTTATCTACAGTTAATCAAGAAGTTCCACAGCCAAAGCCTGTTTCAACAAAAGAGAAACCACCATGTTCAGACAGATACCGAATATATAAAGCCCAGAAACTAAGAGAAATGTTAAAAGAAGAACTGAGAAAAGAGAAGGTAAATGAGAAAAATCACATTTTGACTGGTCCTGTTAGGTTTCTGGTTTTGTGTTAGGCCTCATTTGTAGGAATAATATCTGTAGTATTTAGTGGAGCATAACCAGTTAATATTCCTTATGTTAATAGAATATCCCCTTTTGTGAACTGATTAATAAGCATGATGGAATTAATAAGCTATTTTTTCTGCTCTCTTTTTATACTCATCTATATCTTTGATTTTGGTGAAGGCCACAAACAGAAGGTCTGTACACATACACAAATAGAAAAATATACAGAACAGATGTATAAAATAAACTTTCAGTATGATCTTTAATGACATGAGTGGCATACGTTTGAATTAAGACACATATACTTGAGCACAATGGTAATATTTTATAAATTGATAGTATGGAAATTATAAATGGGAAAAATTTGCATGTATGTGATTAGTAGAGCCCATTTGCTTTTTAATCTTGAAGATTGATTATTTTTCCAGGATTGTACTGTACCAATAGTGATACATGTAAGCTCTGCAGTTAGATACTTAAGATTTGAATCTTAGAGTTGTCCCTTACTATGTGTTCTTGGGCAATTGAATTAATTTTTCTTCTTGTCCTCATCTGCAAAATAAGACTGATGATAGTATGTATCTCATTGGAGGGTTGTAAAGATTAGATGAGTTAATATATGTAAAACACATATAAACTTGTGTCTGGCAGATACAAAGGGCCTAACATTTGTCAGCTCTTATTATTAATTATAGAATGCCCTTGTTAATTATGAGGAGGACACTTAGTATGATGCTTTATATTTGTTACTTAATTCTATTATCTTTGTGAAGAAGACACCACTATTTTACACAGGTAGAAACAAGTTCAGAGAAGTTACTTGCTTTGTGTCACATATCTGTGGGATTTGAATCTATATCCTCTAAAATTTAGGTCTCTAAAGATGTTCTATAGAATCTGCTTAGGTATATTTATTTTGAGGAATTAAAAAATTAAACATTTGCTTCAAGAATTTTGTAAAATTCACAGAAATCCAGTTCATTACAGGGTAAATAAAAAACTATGTATTTATAAATTCTTAGCTAACTATTATAGTTAGAAGGCATTAGTAAGTATGATTTTATACATTGAGCTTTTATCCAGACCTAGACACTTGAGTTTTTAAAATTCCTTGATGTACTACAATTTTTTAATAATACAGTTTATGAAGTTTTTCCTAAAATTAGGAATAATCGTGGTAGGAATAATATGAAATCACTTGCAATTAATGCAACAGTGGGCTATACCTTTGAATATAGTACATGTGAAATTCTATATTTATAAAATTAAAGTGGATCTTTGTATGCGTTTGTGTGTCCAGAAGCAATGGAAAAACAAATATGCCGTAAATGAAAGTCAGAAGCCACCAGATCGTTCAAAAATGACTATGAGAGATTTCATATATTACCTGCCAGATAATAATCCAATGACGTAAGTAAATTTTCTTGTTGTCCTTTCTTTGAGTATGTCATGAGTTAAGTATCAATTTTAAAGTATAGGTTCATGTTTTCCAAAAACATGTTGACAAAATTTGTAGCACATATAATCTTCCTTTCAATAGAATTTTTAAACAAAATTTAGTAGTATTTCAGGTAACTGCTTTTTTAGGATGGTGGCCTTTACCTTTGAAATTAAAAATAAGTTTCCTTTCTTACGTTACCAAAATGTTGTAAAACTAAACAACTTTCAGCAATACTGCAGTTTGTATTTCTTGTACACTATAACCTGAGTCTAAAAGAATGCTGTAATTTTTATGCTCTACCTCCTAATTATTTATAGTGGATATAATTTATCCCCTAAGAACAAAGCTTCTTTAATAGTTAGCCTGAGGAAGCAGACAGTTTATAATAAATCTCAGTGTTGTGTTGTTGATGGTTTAGCAGATGGATGCAGTAGTATAGCCTTTTTCAGGTTCACCAGGTCTTTGGCCTATTTCTGAAGGGCCTGAAGCCTAGGTGGTAAGTTGTTTGACATCTAGGAGTTGGAGATAAGCCATGTAGTTTGCTTCAGACATGAGGACCGGTAGAACTTCCCTTCACTAAGGAATTAGTAAGAACTTTTCCTACTTAGGGCGTGGCAGATTACTTATATTTGATGACAGAGTTTTTGACTGAGAAATTGACTCTTGTGCCACACCATCATTAATAATAGTGTTACAGTGTATCATTGAAAATGCACGTTAAAATAATTTCCTTCTTGCCAATGGGTGGAATTAACAAGGTGTAAATTACTTATTCATTGTAAAATATTTTTTATATTAAATAGCAAATTGTGTCACATTTAAAAACAAATGTTATTTGTTTAATAGTTCTTCCCTGGAACAAGAAAAGAAAACTGAAAAATCATTGACACCAGTCCAGACAAGAGAGTAAGCATTTTATCCTACTGTATTTTTTAATAAATTCTTTGATGGGTACAGTTTTAAAAAAATGAAATCAAATGATGCTTTTTGTTATAGTCAAAGTGAATGTGAAAGGAATGTTTAAATAGAATTACTAACAAGAATAACAGTTACTGTCTGATTTAAGTCAAAATGTAAGGTGGCCCAACCATGTATTATATATGCAAATGACCAATGGTATTTCAATAAAAGCTTATATTTTATTTTTATTTATTTTTAAAAAATTATTCTTTTCTTAAATATTTATTTATTTTGAGAGAGAGAGAAAAAGCATGTGCCCACGATCGAGGGGAGAGGGGCAGAGAGGAAAGAGAATGCCAAGCAGGATTCCCAAAACTATCAGCATGGGGCTTCATCCCTCGAACTGTGAGATCATAACATGAGCAGAAATGTTGGATGTTCAACAGTGAGTCACCCAGGCACCTCTCAATGAAAGCTTTTAGAATGAAAAAGGATTTTGTTTTGTTTTAGAATAATATAATAAAATAGTACAAAAATCGAAAGGAACAAAAGTATACTGAGAAATCTTCCAACTCTGTTTTTCTGTCATCTGGTTCCTCTGCCTGGAGGCAACAAATGTTACCAGTTTTTTAATGTATCATTTTAGTTTATATACAGGCATGTATATATTTTTCGTTTTCTTTCCCTTTCTTTTTATAGTTAAAAAAATTTTTTTTAATGCAGAGACACAGTGCAAGCAGGCGAGAGGTAGAGAGGGAGACAGAATCTGAAGCAGACTCCAGGCTCTGAGTTGTCAGTGCAGAGCCTGACATAGGGCTTGAACCTACAAACTGCAAAATCATGACCTGAGCCAAAGTCAGACTCTTAACTGTCTGAGCTGCCCAGGCCCCCCTCCTTTTATAGTTTTGATGCCACTAGAGAGTCTATTTGCCTTTTGCCTTCCACACTGCACTGTCAGTTTAGTTTACTACTAAGAAATGCCTCCAAGAGGCTTCCTAGGAAGTTATTATAATTTTGTAATTGAAGGTTGGGGATTATGGAAATTACTGCAAACTGATTTTCTGAATGTTACTTTAAAGATTATTATGTAATGATTGCTGTTTTGCTTAGAATTTATATTATTTTAAAGCAAAACTCTCAAACTTTAGAAATAGGTTGTATTTTTACAGATAATAGGTTTTGTTTCTTTTGTAAAACCTTAAGGAGACCGTATAGTTCAGTGGAGTTATATGTGAGTTGGAGTCATTGTTTGGAAAGCTTTATTTGACTTCTTTGTCTACTTTACTGTTGTGCAGGCTAGAGCAAAAATTTGTTAATTTTGAGAGAGACAGAACCCAAGCAGGAGAGGGGCAGAGATGGGGGACAGAGGTTCCAAACCACTCCGTCCTTACGGCAGAGAGCCTCTTGAACTCAAGAGCCTTGATATCATGACCTGAGCCAAAGTCAGACTCTTAACTGAGCTACCTAGATGCCCCTAGCTCAAAAATTATTAGTCTTTCTCCAAACCTCAAATGGGTTTGAAAATACTAACGCCTATGGGTTGTTATGAAGAGTTGATAAAATGATCTAGAAACGAATGCTTTATAACTGTAGGAGTTGTATTTGTTAATTCCACAATATGTTTGATCTATGGGAGACTGTTGAGACAGAAAACATGACAATTTTTTTGCTTTTTTCAGAAGAGACTAAATGCTTCTTACTAAATGCTACCATATAAAATGATAAAATTGGGGAAATCCTTTTTTTTAATTTTTAATTATTTTTATTTTTTTTTTATTTATTTCTAGGAGAGAGCGAGAGAGACAGTGTGAGCAGGGGAGGGTCAGAGAGAGAGGGAGATACAGACTCTGAAATAGGCTCCAGGCTCCGAGCTGGCAGGCAGCACAGAGCCCGACGTGGGGCTCGAACCCACGAACCGCGAGATCACGACCTAAGCGAAAGCTGGACGCTTAACCGACTAAGCCACCCTGGCGCCCCTTTAATTTATTTTTTTAACGTTTATTTTTGAGAGGTAGAGTGAGATAGAGCATGAGTGGGGGAGGGGCAGAGAGAGAAGGGGAACACAGAATCCAAAGCAGGCTCCAGGCTCCCAGCTGTCAGCACAGAGCCCGACGCGGGGCTCTAATTCACGGACTGTGACATCATGACCTGAGCCGAAGTTGGATGCTTAACTGACTGAGCTACTCAGGCTCCCTGAAATTCTCTTATTTTATTTAAAAACATTTGTTTTAGATGTGTATTCATTTTTGAGAGAGAGACAGAGCGTGAGCAGGGGTGGACAGAGAGAAAGGGAGACACAGTCTGAAGCAGGCTCCAGGCTCTGAGCTGTCATGACAGAGCCCATTGTGGAGCTCGAACTCACGAACTGCAAGATCGTGAGCTGAGCCGAAGTCAGACACTTAACCGACTGAACCACTCAAGTGCCCCATAATTGGGGGGAAATTCTTATAACCACGTCCTTAACATGTAGTATTTTCATTTAGGGTATAGGGAAAATTGGAAAATTAATGGAAGGTTTGATTTGAAGTAATTTATTTCAGAAGTTGATAGTATGCGGGAGATCCTTCTCCTGGATTTAAGAATTAAGCTGTCTTTACATTTGGTAGGCAAGAAGGTAAAAGTACTCCTGATGCTGAAGATCATGAAGAAGTAGAAGAAGAAGTGGATGACGGGCCATTGCTGGTTCCTCGAGTAAAAGTGGCAGAAGACGGTTCCATTATTTTGGATGAAGAAAGGTAAGTTAAAAAGAAAAAGAGGTTGTGGTTTCAAACATAAGAACAAACATGCTTTGACTAATGAGAGAGATTGGATTTTCACATCAGTCCTGGTCACTTAAAAGCTGATGTTTATATTTTTCTAATGCATGTTATAAATAGAAAAGTGAGTTAGATTCACTTGTCAGTTTTAGCAATTTTTATGCTGTGTTTTGTGTGAGAGGATGGTACTGCTGATCTGTCATCCATTAACCTTCCACCATTGTTTTACTAATTTTAATGGTAATTGGGATGAGCTACTGAACTAATTATATGCTGGTCTCTACTGATGATACATTTCAAAAATTGGCTCCGTCTTGAAGTCAAAATTCAGGTTTTCATATTATTAACTAATACTGTATTTTGGTGTGTGGTTATAACTACTGAAAATGCAACGAATGAATCATAGGTTTAATATTCTATAATGTTTGTTATGACAAGGGTTAAATTCACTTTGTTGTTTAATTTCTCAGTTATAACATTAAAGTTTTCAAAGTTGACGTGGAATTTGTTGTTTGTCAAAAGTGTTTTTTTAAAAAAAAGAAGATAAATTTATGAGTAAGTAAATACAAAAGAGGAATGAAAAGTCATCTGACAGCTCAGTAAAAAAATCTTTTTATAGCATGTAAAATTCTATGATCATTAAACATAAATGTGGTACTTTTAGTAATTGTTTTTGTGTGTTTTCCATTGTTTTGTGATGATGATTTTACTGGTCATTAGATAGTTAAAAGCATTGAACTGCTTTGTGTACAGGAATGTAGAATGTAAACATAAGATGCTTATATTTCTCATCTGTTGGGGTTAGCATGATAAAGTAATATGTGTTAAATGTAGAAGACATGCAGAAGTCAATAAAATAAGTAATTTTTGGATGGCCCAAAGATAATGTGTAAATTTTATATTGCTACTAATGATTTTGGAAGAATGCTGGCATTTAATTTTATTCCTTGGCAATCACATTTTAAGTAAAAATTAGCAAATTCTTGGTAAATATGCATATGTCAAATATATAATTATACTTTTAATAGGATTCTCCCGTGATAAATTTTCAAATAAAACTATTCAAATATCACATTACTTTTTTCTTGTTCTAAGTGCAGATCTACTTAAAAATATGTCTCTTTCAGCTTAACTGTAGAAGTTTTAAGGACAAAAGGCCCCTGTGTTGTTGAGGAAAATGACCCCATATTTGAGCGTGGGTCTACAACTACATATTCCAGCTTCAGGAAGAATTATTATTCTAAACCATGGTCAAATAAAGGTAACTGCTTTTCATTTTAAACTGTGGGGATTTTTAAATTTCAAATAGAGTGAATTATTATCTGTAAGTAAAGAAAAGTAAAGAAAATGCAGACCATGTTGTTTTCTCTGTAGCTACTGTTTTTGCAACCTGCCCTCTGCCCTCTCCCCTCTTCCTGCCCTCCCAATACCATGGAACTCTGTTTCTGGCTTTATCTTAGGAATCTTTTTAGGAATTAGCATTATGGTCATTTGGGCTGGAATATTCCTTTTTGTCAAATCCTTGTATAAAAAATACCACTTTTATGTAAAATTAGTAATATTTCTAATACTCATAATAATGTTCTACATGAGATACTCTTGTATATATAATAAAGTTCCTAGAGTGAAAATGTTGCTCTTAAAAAAGTATATAATAGGGGCACCTGGGTAACTCAGTCGGTTAAGTGTCTGACTTTGGGTTAGGTCATGATCTCGTGGTTCGTGGGTTCGAGCCCCATGTCGGGTTCTGTGCTGACAGCTCAGAGCCTGGAGCCTGCTTCAGATTCTGTTTCTCCCCCTCTCTTGCTCCTCCCACGCTCATGCTCTGTCTCTCTCTGTCTCTAAATAATAAACATTTGAAAACATATCATGCTTTTTAAAAAATTTTATTTATTTTGAGAGAGTTTAAGCAGGGGAAGGGTAAAGAGAGAGGGAGAGAGGGAGAATACCAAGTAGGTTCTGCACTGTCATTATGGAGCCTGATGTAGTTCTCTAACTCACATACTGTGAGATCATGACCTGAGCCGAAATCAAGAGTTGGTCACTTTACAGACTGAGCCACTCAGGTACCTGAAGCATATAATACCTTTTGAGTGATATTGCTTATTCTTATAAAAATAATATAAGTTGTTTTTGGGGAAAAATGAAACAGAACAGAGTAATACAGGACAAGAAAGATTCTATAATTCCTCCTTTGACTTCCCCAATCCTGTTTTATTGAGGTTACTACTATTAATAGTTTCTTGTGTGTTTTTTTAGTTGCTTTCTTTCACACACTACTTAGCACATCTTAGTTGTTTATATCAAAGCAGTAATATAGTGGCTGTTAACTGACAGGTTTCTTAACACTTTGGGACCAATAGGCAGAATGTTGTTTTCTTCTTCCCCTGCCCCTTCCTCCCCCTCCCCTTCCTCCCCCTCCCCTTCCTCCTCCTCCCCTTCTTCTAGTTCTTCCTCTTCTTCTTCTGCTTCTCCCCTTTCTTCCCCTTCTCCTCCTCCTCCTCCTAATTTCAACTCCTTGGGTATGAGCACATAAATTTCATATATCATGTTTGTGTATAAAAGTTTAGAGATTGTTTTAGATGCATGAAATTCTTTCCAATAAAATTGACTAAAGATTTTCTGAACTTTAAAGGCTATTAGATACTTTCAAATTTATTTTTAACTCAAAATATATACTTAATGTAATATTTTTTCCTTTGAAATACTGGTATTTTCATTCTTTCTAAATCTTTTATTTTTACAGAAACAGATATGTTTTTTTTAGCCATCAGCATGGTAGGAACTGACTTTTCTATGATTGGACAGCTTTTTCCTCACAGAGCAAGGATAGAAATTAAGGTAAAGTAAACTCAATACATTTGTTGATTGGAAAAGGACCAAAAATTACTATTTTTTTAACTTTTGTATAAATCTCATTCCATCCTTATTCACTACTAGTTTTGAGTACACGTGTCCCTTTTTACAGCTCAGAAAGTAATGTAGTATTACTCAATTCTGAGTACAATCTCCTTACCTTTAGCATATTATCTTATTTATGTCTTGCTCACTTCCAGAATGGATTTTAGGGAGTACCCATAAAGCCACTGAATCTAAGATAAAAGAAGAGTTAAGTAATGAAAGAGGGAAGAATAAATGTATCAGAATATGCATTTGGATTAAGGGTAGCTTGAACACAGAATGTATTGCTTAATTTCCTAGGAAGACATGAAGAGAGGCATGCTAAGTTAGCTAATTCTCATTATATGATCTAACTGTTGGTTTCTTAGGCTACCTTAACTTTGTAGACAGTCAGGGATACTAGTAACAGCAGCAGTGATGTAAATTAGTGCTTTACTATGCGTAACAGAATGAGTAGTAGTCTCTGTTTTATTTTTCCCTTTGTGAGAAACGTAATTACAAGTTTCCTGGGATGGAGTGCATTTGAATGCACACTATGTTGGGTGTCATGCATTTTCAATGTATAGTGAGCTCTTTATTCAACCATGGGTTTTTTTCTTCATTATTTAAACTTTTAGGAAAGATAGATTTTTTTGTTCTTGAGCCATACTAGGCATGGATTGATCACCTGGGGACCATTATACAGTGCAGTGGTTATTCTGTTTCTGCAAAAGACGAATCGTTTATATTATTTATGTTCTTTTTCTAATGTTGAACTTTGATAAAAAGAGAACAAAATGTTAAAGTATGTGAAGGCTAGAAACTGTCTAGGGGAGCTCTCTTATCTGAGTAATTAATGATAACTTTGTCACTAGATTATTTCTTTCAAAAATTGTTTAGACTCCTCCCCCAAGTTTAGTGTGATTCTCACATACCTTTGGGCAAAATTTGGAAAAGTGAAAACTTGGGACTAAAGTGAATTATATTGGTTTTCAAATATTGAACCAAACTTGTATTCTTCTTTCTGTATGTTGTATTTCATTATATTTTCTTGAGGATTTATTTATTTATTTATTTTAATGTTTTATTTATTTCTGAGAGAGAGAGAGAGAGAGACAGCGTGAGCAGGGGAGGGTCAGAGAGAGAGGGAGTCGCAGACTGAAACAGGCTCCAGGCTCCGAGCTGGCAGTCAGCACAGAGCCCGACCCGGGGCTCGAACCCACGAACCGCGAGATCATGACCCAAGCGAAAGTCGGACGCTTAACCGACTGAGCCACCCAGGCGCCCCATTGAGGATTTATTTTTTACAGTGAGACACAGAACGCTTGCACGTGAGCTGGCAGGGGCAGAGAAAGGAGATGAGGGGATCTGAGAGAGGCTCTTTGCTGACAGCAGCGAGCCTGATGGACGGCTCGCACTAACGAACTTACAAACCGAGATCATGATTTCAGCCAAAGCTGGGCGCTCAACCAACTGAGCCACCCCGGTGCTCGCTCATCTTGAGAATTTTGTGCCTCTTTGTTTGTGAGGGATATTTTGAATATTTATTTTTTATTTGCTTATTTTTGAGAGCGAGAGGAGAGGCAGAGAGAGAGGGAGAGAGAGAGAACCCCAACCAGACTCTGCACTGTGAGCAGAGAGGCTGTTGAGGGGCTGAACTCATGACTGAGATAATGATTTGAGCTGAAATCAAGAATTGGACACTTAACCAAACTCAGCCACCAGGCACCTCATGAAGGACATTTTGTAACTTTCTTTTAATGTTTTTGTCTTGTTTTGGTACTAGGATTATGCTGGTAATGGAAAATGAGTTGAACCGTGTTTCTTTTTCTTTTATCTGAATGAATTAAAGATTAATACTATTTCTCCTTTAATGTTTGATAGAATTCAACAGTGAAAACCTTTGGACCTGTAATTTTCTTTCGGGAAGGATTTTAAGTTCAGTTTCTTTAATACATATAGGTATATTCAGGTATTCATTTTTGTCTTGTGTCAGTTTCGATGCTGATTGTTGAATTTATAGGCATGAAGTTTTCATAGTGTTCACTAATCATTTTAACGTTTTAAGGCTATTCTTTGATTGATAATTGATGTTTTCCTTCTTTTTTTCACCTCTGTCTTGTTAAGGGTATTTGACTTCCCAAAATCTTTCTAATGAACCAACATGTAGTAATGAGTTTTTAATTGTATATTTTCATTTTTTTTAACTCTTCAACATTTCCTTCTATTTACTCTGCCTTTAGTTCTTGCTTCTTAAGATGAAAATTTTGAACATTTTAAGTACTTTATCTTTTTTAATTAGACATTTAAAGTTATACATTTTCATCTGGGAACTGCTTTAAGTGGAGTTCATAAATTTTGATAGGTTGCTTTCATTATTACTCAAAAATATTTTCTAGTTCTGTTTAATTTCCAGTGTGTTGTTTAATTTCTAAATACTTGGGACATTGGTAAATAGGTTATTCTTTTCTAATTGTATTTTGTTGTTAATTCCACTGTGAGTTTAAATATATAAGCTGTAAGATTTCAGTCTTTCTGAAGTTTAATGAGATTTTTTTTAAAAACATGTTATACTCGTGTATAACCAGATTTCTGGTCACTTGAAATGGGTGTGTACTCTGTTATTGGGTGTACTGTGTAGTTGTAGTAGTTAACGGAGCGAAGAATTGACATCTGTATTCATGATTATAGATTTGCCTGTTTCTGCCTTTATATTGTTCAGTTTTGAATGTATATTGACACTCTTGTGTGCTGAAGTTCTTTCAATGGGTACATTCACTTTTAGTGTGTTGTTGAATTGATCATACAGCATTTGTCTTTCTCTGATTTATTTCACTTAGTATAACGCGTTCAGTGTCCATTCATGATGTTGCAAATGGCAAAATGTCTTTTTTATGGCTGAATAATATTAATGTTCACATATGTATATGTATATGCACATATGTGCCATATTTTCTTTATTCATTTGTCACTGGACACTTAAATTGTCTTGGCTGCAGTGAATAATGCTGCAGTGAACCTGGGGATACATACATCTTTTCAAGATAGGGATTTTGTTTCCTTCAGGTAAATACCAGAAGTAGAATTGCTAGATTATGTGGTAATTTTATGTTTAATAATTTTGGGCAGCATCTATACTGTATTCCATAGTAGTTGCAGCAGTTTATCCAGTCTGGCACTCTTTTAGTTTAATTTTATTATAGGTTATATCTGAGAGAGATGAGAACATGGTCATTGAATTCTTACATTGACCCTTGATTTAAAAAAAAAAAAGATAAAATGTCTGTTGCACATTTCCATGTAATAATTTAGTTCATTTACCTTTAATGTAATAACTGATATGACTGGATTCAGGTCTGTCACCTCACTATTTTCTTTTTTTTTTTTTTTTTTTTTTTTTTTTTTTTTTTT